CTGGCCCTTTTAAGGCTCCAGGGCATAAGATGCTCTTGGAGCTTTGAATACTGCAGTGACAGTAAGAACCAGTTCTGCTCCTCTTGTGCCCACTTTCAGCCACTCTACACTTGTGCCGGCCGTCATGCCACAGTGCATGTACAGGCCAGCTTACTTAAGCCGTCTCTTCTTTCTGTCCCTGCAATTCCATTCAGGGGTGCCCTCTGCTCAGGAAATGTCTGTGCCCATATGGTAATCCCACTTGGGTATGTCCACTCCTCAGGGAACTTCTGTATAGTAATACCTCTGGGTATGCCCTCTCTTTGGGCTACTGCTGCCCCTCTCTGTGTTTTTACATGCAGTAGAATTATGGGTGTGACAGACTTTCATCTTGCAGTTCACTGGCCAGTGGAATCCAGGCTTGCTCCAGTCTCTCCTCCCATTAACTGGCTCAATGACATAAATATCAAATGTAAAGTGGTAGAAACAAGAAGCCTCATGGAAGCCTTGGCCTAAACTGAGTTCTGGAATCTACTTTTACCAGAGGGTCTTAATGGGAACTTGCTCTACTGTTACCAAGCATACAAAATGAAAAAGTGGAACCAAAACACCAGATGCAGATATGAAGGCTTTAAGTGTTCCTGAAGTTGTAGCAGGAACCTTATGGTTCCAGTTGGGGCCAATCTAAAAACAATCAATCATTCAACATACAGAGTTCCTGGGCACCAAAGAGTAGGAAAATTTCTGCTATTGCAGCCAATATCCTCCTTTGATCAGGACTCTCAGCCAGGACAGTAGCCAGGGTGACTAAAAGGCACAGAGCAGCCAGGTTCCACACAGGCCTTGGGACACGGGATCAAGAGACAGCAATTCCAAATTGTGTTATCAGGTGTTGAACTGCGTACAGGGCCAAAGAGAGACCTACAAATAAGTTAGATTCATGAGGCTTTTACATTAATAACTGGGTCACTGGCCCACAAGAGGTAAATCCCGACCGTGGTGGTCAAGATGTAGAGAAACACACAGTGAGTTCACCACGGAGAGGTTGGGAGGGGGGAGGAGAGAGGGGAGTTATTTTAACAAGGATCAGGAAAAGAATAATGAAGTGTTTATTCTGTGTATTATTCTCTTCCTGAGTTTGAGTAAAGAAAAAAAAAAGTCAATGGAATTATTCCAAATTCAAAGGTTAAGAAGGAAATATATAACCTTATTCCAGATTCGAGGAGAAACAGGAACCAAAAGTATTCTCGGTCATGAAGCAGAATAGAAAACACTTCACTTCAGTAAGCGAAAAATGAAGGGCCACACTGCCCAAGCTGGAAGATGAGAGGAATCTCCGTAGGACAAAAGTTGCAATTTTAATGGCCAGGCAAAAATAGGGCCAGGCCATCTCCAGAGGACCTAAGATGCGGAGACACTACTTACCTACAGGCAGGCAGTTAATTGTGAGAGCAACTGTGGGAGCCTCCCTCCTTGATACCTAGGTCAGCTGCCTTGGGGAGTCACACATGTAGACAGACACGAGTAGAAAATCAGCCCCACATAGACCCATCCTTATTATAATTGTTTCTTGGTAACACAGATAATTTAGGGAAGCTGGTAAGGGCCACTCCCTGAGGGAACGCCATGCCCTCAGGATTCCACAGGAAGGGAAGGTACAGGAGAGGGGAGACACAGGATACTGAAGACAGTCCTGCCACAACGTCCAGGCCCAGGCCTGATTAGATGCTGCACTGACCTCTGCACATAATCACCCAGCTGAGTCTAGCCATGGAAGCACCAGTGAGGAAAACAAGAATATTTCCTCCTCTCACTCATGCCTCCATCTACTCTCATTACCCTAGATACTGCCAAGAGTTTGCTTTTTTTGGCTAGAATAATATCGGAAATATACTGTGGCTTCTTAGTAGAAATGCTCTAGAGGCTATGAGGTAGCCCTGGGCTGAAGACGTTCCCAAGACACACAGACCTTTAAACCTGGGACAAGTTGGTCATGCTTGGTAAAGAGTAAAGGTCATTACTCTTTCCTCCAAAATACCCAGGGACTAGAGTCAGCATCTGGCACTCTACTTCTGAAAGATTCCCACTGCCAATTCATAGATTAATAAAAGCGATAATAAGCATGGATTACTCAGATCATCCTTTCTATTCTGTAACTCCCAGGTGATTTAGAAATGGCATATAAAAGTAATTAAAAGGCACCTTATTGGTTATACATCTTAAACAGTAGTCTACTTACATAAAAAAAAGTGAGATAAATATCCCCTTCTAAGGGATGAGTTTTGGATATGAATTCAGGGTAGATGTATGCTTTCTAGCAGGCCTGCTTTACTTTACAAGTCTGCACCAGGTCATCCTGTTTAGGAGGATGCTCAGATTAAACAGGGCTAAGGACATATGACAACTAAATACAGTGTAGGATCCCTGACTGGATCATAAACATTAACAAGACAATTAGTGAAATTTGAATAAGTCTGTCTATTACACTTAATAGAATTATATCAATGTAAATTTCCCGGTTTCAATAATTGTACCAGAGTCATATAAGATGTTCACATCTGGGGAAGCGAGGTGAAGGGCATAGGGAAATCTGTACTATTTTTGCAACTTTTTGTAAATCTAAAGTTATTTCAAAATAAAAAACTTTTTAAAAAGAGCCTTTTCCAGGGGCTGGGCATAGTGGCTCAGGGCTGTAATCCCAGCACTTTGGGAGACTTTGGTGGGTAGCTCCATTGAGCTCAAGAGTTCAAGACCAGTGTGGGCAACATGGCGAAACCCTGTATCTACAATAAATACAACAAAATAAGAAAATTAGCTGGACATGGTGAAGCGTGCTTGTAGTCCCAGCTACCCAGGAGGCTCACCTAGCCCAGAGGTTGAGGCTGTGGTGAGCCATGATTGCACCACTGCACACACTCCAGCCTGAGCAACAGAATGAGACCTTGTCAAAAAAAAAAAAAAAAAAAATCCTCTTCCAAAAAATCCATAATTTCCTTTTTCTAACACATACACACAAAAACTCATACACATTAAAAATACCTTTTGATTCACGTATGACATGAGACTTAAGAGCTTGTAACTATTAAAACAAAACTTTATTGCTTATAAAAACAGAAAGCTAGAGACAATTTAGCTATCTGATAGATGAGCAATAGGCTAGTATACCACAGCTGTCATGCAAGCCATGACAAATACATCTATCTTGGGCAACACTGATTTTTTCACCTCCAAGCACAGTATTAGGCACATACCTAAAACTCTAATATTTAATAAAAGAATGAATCCATATGATGAATGATTATACAAGCATTTTCAAAGATGTTTAAGAAGAATTTATAGTGATCCACGAAAATGCTAAGTGAGAAAATATAAGGTGGAAAGAGAAAGCAATAGTATGAAGTAATATAACAATATTACTCCAATTATGTAACAATACTACCCCAATTTTGTGTATATTCATATACACAAAAATACAAAAATTAGGAAGAAATGCATCAAAATGTTAATACATGTGGCAAAATTACAGATTTTAATTTTCATCCTTATACTTTTCTCTGTCTTCCAAGTCTACAATGAAAGACAGTTGGCCGGGTGCGGTGGCTCATGCCTGTAACCACTTTGGGAGGCCAAGGTGGGCAGATCACCTGAGATCAGGAGTTCAAGACCAGCCTGACCAACATGGTGAAATCCCATAGAGAAAAAAAATGTGTTTTCTCTGCTAAAAACACAGAAATTAGCCGGGCGTGGTGGCAGGTGCCTGTAATCCCAGCTACTCAGGAGGCTAAGACTGGAGAATTGCTTGAACCTGGGCGGCGGAGGGTGCAGTGAGCCAAGATTGCACCACCTCACTCTAGCCTGGGCGACAGAGCAAGACTCCGTCTTAAAAAAAAAAAAAAAAGGTTTCAGTGGGTTTAAGTGCATACACACACTCCAATTTACCAAGCTTTTTCTATGCCCTTCCATTATTTTAGATTTTTTAAATTTCATTCTTCGTCTACAACTCTAAGATTATTTCAGCAACAGCTGTTCAGAACAGACGATTTACTTTCCACAGAGAATTCTAAATTGTTTATCACGCAGAATGGTCCCTTAGAAAACATCTCGTCCTCTAGACTTGTAGGACTTTAAGTTGAAAGTAGGCAGTACAAAGTGGATTTAACCGCTTTAAACCCCACAGGATTAGATTTAAACTCCGCAGGATTTGAGGCAATATGATACAACTGTGTTTTGAGTCTTAATAAACCTCAGCTGCACCTTTTAAGCCTGGGACCTCCATACACCGTCCTGTTGGAATAAGGTTTTACAGAAGGCAGCGCACACCAATGCTAGCACTGTGAAGGCACCCGAAAAATCAGACGCCGCCTGTAGGGGAGAACCCCATTCCATTCACGTTTCTCAGGTGTCCCGGGCACTAGCCAGACAGGTGTCTATTATTTAAACTGTACAGTATGTCCCAGTCAAAAGCCTGGAAACCCAATCACCTCATGTGAGCATTATCCTGCAACTCCGCTCCGGCCAACCCCGCCTGGAGACAGCCTAGCCCGCCCTGATCGCGGGACTGCCGGGAAGTAAGAAGCCCGGGCCCCTGAAGCTGGCCCTTCCAAAGAGCACCCTTCACTCCGCTCCGACGACAACCCCACCCATTGCCTTCTTTCCCAGAGCGCTGAGGCCCCCACATCCCCCATCCTGACTCCACCAGCCCCGAATTTCCGCCTGACGGCGTTTCTCTCAGGACTCAAACCTTCGCCCTCAGACCCATACCCCCTCCACAAACCTCTGCCCTCCCCAGCGACCGCCACTCCCCATAACACCTTCACCCGTCCCTGCCCCCACAGCCTCCGCGCCCATCCTGGTCCCACTTCCCATCCCCAGGGGTGCCGACACCGAGAAGCGCCCAGGGAACGCAGGGCGGCTGCCGGGAGGAGCCCCTGGAGGCTGCAGCGGCCGAGGCTCAGTCACTGCACGGAGCCGGGCTCTGCGCCTCGGACAGCTGGGGGTCTGTGGTGTCCTCCCCCACTCACCGCCCGCCGCACCACTCCACGTCTTCGGGGGCGGGCCCGAGAGCCGGCGACAACCGGAGGCCGGGAAAGCTAGCGCTCGGTGCCGGGGGCGGGCCGGGCCTGAGGGGTGGGCGCCGGCGAGGGCTGGGCGTGTCGGACTCGGCGGAGCCTAGACGCGGTCGCACGCAGGAGGGGGCGGGGCCACGGCGGGAGAGGCGGGGCCTCACTGGGCGGTCGCCTTGGAGGAGAACCTTGACCGGAACCGATCTGGAGAAACAAAAGGCGGCCCTTACTGGGCTGTCGCCCGGAACGGGAACCCAGGCCTGCAAAAAGGGAGGGGCGTGCCTAGCATACCGTACCACCCATCGGGATCCGGAGGGCAGCGGGAGAGGCGGGGCCGAGAAGGAAGAGGCCTGGTTGGGCTGTCACTCCGAGCTGGGGCGGCACGCCGCTGAGGTCTCCAACAGTGAGCGATCGGGGCGGGGAAAAGGAATACGCTCCTTCACATTTCCCTCTTCCATCTCTTACAGACCAGGGCCTGATTTTCTGGTCACTTTCGGGTATAAGAAGAAGTCTCATTTTAACTGTAGCTCACTTTCAAGTTGTGAAAAACGCAGATCCATTTATAATTAAAACCTAACATCCAACTACAGTCAAATCCCTTTCAATAGTTTATAGGGTTTCCCAGCCTCTTACCTCTCTGAAAACCTCTTTTACTCTCCTACTTACTCCTCTCCAGCCCCACTGGTACCCTTGCTCCTCCTAGAACTCGCCAAACCAGACACCCTCCACCTCCTGACTCAGGGTCTTTGCCCCAGTCATTCCCTCTGCCCAGACGGCTCTTCCCTTAGATAGCTGCTTGGCTCACTTCCTCACCTCCCTCAGTCTGCTGGACTCTCACTTTCTCCCTGAGGCCCTTTCTAACCATCCTACCTAATATCTCTTCTTATCTCCTCCCCCTCCTACCATTTCCTTACCTGCTCTCCTATTTCTTCTGTCCACCACATTTATTGACTTGTTGTTGTTTTGAGATACAGAGTCTCCCTTTGTCATCTAGGCTGGAGTGCAGTGGCACAATCTTGGCTTACTGCAACCTCTGCCTCCTGGGTTCAAGCGATTCTCCTGACTCAGCCTCCTAAATAGCTGGGATTACAGGCGTGTGCCACAACGCCCAGGTAATTGTTGTATTTTTTTTGTAGAGACAGAGTTTCGCCATGTTGGCCAAGCTGGTCTCGAACGACTGACCTCAGGTGATGCAGCTGCCTTGGCCTCAGAAAGTGCTGGGATTACAAGTATGAGCCACCGCGCCTGCCCCACACTTACTGACTTAACATTTTATGTTGTTTCATTTATTGTCAGTCTCTCTCCCTAGAATGTAAGTTTCACAGGGCAGGGATTTTTGCCGGTTTTGTCCATTGATATATAGTAGTTCCCCCTTATCTGCAGTTTGGCTTTAAGTGTTTTTAGTTACCCAGGGTCTACCACAGTCTGAAAATAGGTGAGGCCAGAACAATAAGATATTTGGAGAGAGAGAGAGAGAGAGAGAGAGGGAGAGAGAGACCATATTCACTTTTTATTACAGTCTGTTTTTATAACTTTTCTATTATTCATTGTTGTTAATCCCTTACTGTACCTAATTTATAAATGAAACTTTATCATAGGTATGTATGTTTATATAGGAAAGAATAAACATAGTGTACATAGAGTTTTATACTATCCTCAGTTTCAAGCATCCACTGGGGATCTTGGAATGTATCTCCTGCAGATAATGGAGGATTACCCTATCCCCAATGTTTAGAACAGTGTTAGGTCCATAGTAGACAAACAATAACATGAAATGAAAAATAAAAAAATGAATGGACACTTTCTGCCTCCGTACATCCAGCTTTGGCCAGATCGATGCCTTAACGAACTACAGTGGGGAGAAGGCTGGTCTGCTCTTTATTCTCTACCCTTCTCTGGATCTACCAGGTTCCAGGCAGGAGGCAGGGAGACTAAAGAAAGGAGCAGAAGACTAATTACTTGGTAGGAGCAGTTTGTCATTCTTTCTAGACCACTGATGCTAGCATGTCAGCTCACAACATTATTAACCAGCTCTTGTGCAGCTGTCTTTTTGTAGGTCCTGTGTGGGTATGTCCAGAAGAGGTTCTGAAAATCAGGATAAATTATTTATGAACTTCAATAAGTTTAGACATAAATTACTCATTAGACTTTTGTTTTTAAATTGTACTCTTCCTATCTTCTTATCCTTGAACTTATGGCCATCCTTCATATAACTTCATTTTCTTATATTTATGTGACTGGAGGAATTAGGAAAAAAAAATTGAATGGAAACATAAAAGTCCTTTTCTCATGGGTAATCTTATTTCATTTCCACTGTTAACACATTAAAACTTAACACATTTCTGTTAAGTATGGTAAATTGTTGGATAACATAAATGGCAAACCTGAGTTAATGACATAGATCCCCATATGGTAGTCCCCATTATCCATGTTTCAGTACCCCCACTGGATGCCTGAAACCACAGATGGTACTGAACCCTGTATATTTATGTTTTTTTAACTTAATAGCCTAGATGACTACTAAGTGACTAACAGGCATGTAGCATTGATATAGTTTGCATCTGTGTCCTCATTCAAATCTCACATTGAATTGTAATCTCCAGTATTAGAGGTGGGGCCTGGTGGGAGGTGATTGGATCATGGGAGTAGATTTCTCCTGAATGATTTAGCACCATCCTCTTGGTGCTGTCCTCAAAATAGTGAGTGACTTTTCACAAAATCTGGCTGTTTAAAAGTGTGTGGCATCTTCTTCTGTGTTGCTCCTGCTCTGGCCATGTGATATGCCTGCTCCCTCTTCACTTATAAGTTTCCTAAAGCCTTCCCAGAAGCCAACCAGATGCCAGCATCATGCTTCCTGCACAGCCTGCAAAGCCATGAGCCAATTAAATCTCTTTGCTTTATAAATTACCCAGTCTCAGTTATTTTTTTATAGCATTATGAGAATGGACGAACACAAGGACCTACAGTATGGGTACACCAGACAAAGAGATGATTCACATGCAGGAGGGATGGAGTGGGACAGTGTGAGATTTCATCACAATACTCGGATTGGCACACAATTTAAAACTTATGAATTATTTCTGGAATTTTCCATGTAATGTTTTCCGACCTCAGTTGATTGAAGGTAACTGAAACCATGGAAAGAGAAACTGTAGCTAAGAGGAACTACTGTATCCATTACCTATGACTACATGTCAAACAATTACACAGAATTAGGGATTCCTTTCTCCACTTGTCTTTTTTGGGGGATTTCCTCCATGTTCTTCTCTCTGGCTTCCAAGAGTTCCTTTTCCCAACTCCTCTGTCCAGGAGGATAGGTTTTCTCCCAGGTGACCATGTCACTGTACCACTGCAAGGCAGCTCCCTGACTGGGAATGGCTTCAGGGCAAGGGAGGGAAAGAAAAAAGCAATCAGCAGTTTCTACCACTTTCTCTAGCTTGCAGCAGCCTTTTTTCCTGGTCCTGTGGCTACATGGTCAGGCTTCTCTCTGATGTTTTGCTGATAGTGTCTGGTTGACAATTCCCAACTCATTCTGTCTTCAGATCAAAGCGAAGAGGTAGAGGAGAAAAAAATAAAAACAGGAATCTCACCACTCCTGTATCAGTCTTTCTTCAGGTTTGAGTTCCCTGCCCAATCTGCCTGCTATTATTTACTTTTCAGAGTCCTTGGGTAGTTATTCTTTATAGTTTATCTAGAGGTTTTAGTAGTGATCAATCAGTAGGAGACATGGGCAGCAGTGGACTTACTCTATTTTGGTCAGAAATGGAACTTGTCAATCTAATAAAAAAATATTTTAACTGGTATTTTTCTTGTGAAGAGGGAGGTTGAGAGCATCTTCTCAGGTTAAAGAAACATTTGTATTTCCTATCCTGTGAACTATCTATGTATATACATTGTCTAATTTTCTACTAAGTATAGAAACTTTTTATATAATAGTAAGAGTAGTCATTTTTCTTATGAATGTCAAAATTTTCCTCAGTTTGTCATGTCCTTTTATTTCTCTTATGCTGTTTTGTTTGTTTGCTTTTGTTTTTGTTTATTGGCCAAGAAAACTTTTTCTAACTGGTCAATTTTACCAAATTTTCTGTTACTACTTCTGGGTTGTATCATACTTAGAAAGATCTCCACCTCTCTTCAATTACTTTTTTTTTTTTAAATGGAGTCTAGCTCTGTTGCCCAAGCTGTAGTGCAGTGGCGTGATCTTGGCTTACTGTGACCTCCGCCTCAACGGTTTAAGCACTTCTCTTGCCTCAGCCTCCCAAGAGCTGGGACTACAGGCATGAACCACCATGCCCAGCTAATTTTTGTATCTTTAATAGAGATGGGTTTTCACCATGTTGGTCAGGTTGGCCTCAAACTCCTGACCTCAAGTAATCCACCTGCCTCGGCCTCCCAAAGTGCTAGGATTATAGGTATGAGCCATCATGCCTGGCCTCAATTATTTTTTAGATCCTTCCAGGGTTTGTTTTTTACATCTCATGATGTTACATTCTTTACTTTAAAAATCTGACCAATCAAGAATTTGTTTTCATGTGAGGTAAGTGGAGTGGATCTAATTTTATATCTTAATAGCTATACATTTTTCTAACCCCATTTCATTAATAATCCATCTTTCCTTTACTGGTTTTAAATGTCACGACTATCATATACTAAATTTCCTATTTATGAACTTTCTATTCTATACTATCAATCCATTGGTTTATCTATATGCAAGACTCATAAGATTTTAATTTTTGAATCTTCATAGTACTTCATTCTCTTTCTTTAAACTCTACAATACAATCAGAAAAGTCAACTCACCCACCCACCTAGCTGTTCCTGTATCTCTCATTCCCTTCATAACCATCTAAGTAGCAGCCACTGAAGACTCATTGTCAGTAAACTGTTCATCCAAGGTGACCACGTCATTTCACTGTTCATCCAAGGTGATAATGTACATAATTTTTATTCTTTGCGTCTAGATTCACAGCATCCCATTTTCCACTAAGTGACAAGGCCACCATCCACCATGGTCTTCAAAACCAGCCAGTCCCAGATTCCCAGTTTCAGGGTCTGATTTCTACAACCACTTCCAATACCAACTTGTCAGT